TTTGCCCAGGGGGAAAAATCGGTGTGCACAGGCCTGTGTTTCCCGCCCCAAACGTTATCAGAATCACACCAAACTTGGTGGGACCTCCCACTGTATCACAGGGAAGACCTCCACAAAGTTTGGTGTCGTTCATACGTCGTTTGGGCCAAGTTGCCCGTTTCGAGCGTCGACCGTTTTCCTGGTGAACAGTTTGCGGAACTCCGTTTTCTGATTTTTTTTTCAGAAAACGGACTCCGATGGCCTGCTGAGTCGGCACGCCATCTGTTTTTACTCAGAACATGAGGTCTGAGCATCCTCAGACTTCACCCCCAAGTTTCTGCAGCGCCGCCGCCGACGTGCCGTCGGCCACATCCCGCTCGTTTACAGTCCCCTTGTGGCTATTGCGACGGCGGTGGTTACTCTATCTTTTCCCCGGATCAGCAATCTATGCTGGCCAGGTTTTGTCAAGGACTGCAGACCTACAGCTACCAGTAAAGGAAAAACACAGCAACATTTTCGAACAACCGGAAAACAGCAGCCCATCAAACTCCCCAATTACCGCGTTCGAATAAAACACGGGGGGGGGGGGATAAAGACGTGCGGTATCAGGCCTAGAGCATGAAGGGAAAACTCAGCGTCTTATCGGAGGGTGGGGGTCAGGCAATGCAGACCTTCTACACTCCCAGGCCACTACACTACACTAGTACAGAAGTTGTGATTCATACTCAAGTGAGAGAACAAGTAGACAGTGGAGAATAAGAGAGAAATTTACATGTTTGCGCTCACCCACACTAGGGGAAGAGTTGCGATTCACATGGGGATGGAGACATGGACAAAACATACATAAGACACTACCCAAACACTACTCTTACACCAAGATATGAGTTCTGATTCACACCAAGTAGAAAACTGAGTAGAAACATGAAGATCATGAGAGAAAATCACAAGTTTTGAGCTCACATACATTAGGAGATGAGTTGCGATTTACATAGGAGTGAAGAAAAGGACAAAACATGCACATCACAACACTCAAACATA